ATACTTCACTTATGCGCTCAAATTAAAAATATCAACAGTTTAGTTTTACTCCAATTGCATTCCAAATATGTGATTTGATGACTCGTTTCATTAGATTATCCAAGTTAAATGCAATTAGAGTATGACTGATATATATATCTATATACAAAATTCGAGTACTCGGTAAAATATCTAAACTTGAAACCATCTATCAAATTCTATTGTTGGAAGAACCGATCGCAACCGTATCGAAGGATGATTACTGATCCACAGTTTAATGTGTTATTTAAACATGGTATAATTTGATTTAAATCGAATAAATATTCATTGTATGCAATGTAATTGGTAGTTTCATAATTCAATATTGACGCAGAAGTAATATTGTTATTCCACGGATTTAAATTTTCTCAATAATTATAATAATTAATAATTAATTAAAATATTTATTTACTATGCTGTGACATTAATTATGTTTAATTAACACAAATAAAGAAAATAATAAAAACCTAAGCATTGTATTGAGTAAAAATATTGTATTAAAATTATACACTATATAAAAGCTATATTTTAGTAGGTTTAAATAAGATATGGTATATCAAAATATGGTTAAAATTTCATTCCAATCTTATTTTAGTCGATATTTATCCTACTTACATACGTATGAAAAATATACTTTTAATGTCTTGCTTTTTTTAGTAACTTCACGAATTGATTTTGAAACTTAATTTTTAATATTTGAAACTTTTAAATGCTTTATAAATACATTTATAATATATAGGAGATCTGATTTTTATAATAGAATATTAATTCATATACGAAGTTGCAGTCTGTTGGAACTATTAGGAACATTATAATATATAATAATATATAAGCAATATAATTTTTCAGAAGATTGTACAATGGATAAGAAATGATCTTCTTTATAAGCCCTATAGTTCATATTACAATTGAGAATTAAATTTTGATCAGATTCCACTAATTCCGCGGTATTCTGGCTACAGTTTTCGCTCTTATATTGACTTCCAAGCATCTATCGAGAGTGCGTTGGTTTTAATGAAACATGCTTCGTAAGGGAATTCCATTTGGTAGGAATAGAGAGCTCGTGGTGGCAATCCGAATCTTCAAGAACTTCCTCGAGATTGTTTCAATATCTTTTGCGAAGTTGGTAATTAAAATCGCGTTCAGAACTCAGATAGCGCTTTTGGGTCAGAAAACTCGTTATTTCGCAAAGAGGAGCCACCCTCGAGTTCGCACACGCACGGCAGCATTCCTCGATGAGTTGTTCGTGGCTGCGGTAGTCGCTTAAGGCATGCGCGCCTTCTTACATATACATTCTCGTTTTCACATACACTTATGCTGCACAAAGCCATGCTCAGGTTCGCGTATTATACCTGCTGGCGAGTAACTGCACATAGACACGCGGAAGAGTCGCGAGAGCCGAGGCCTTTTACATAAGGTGATCCCAAGGCGCGATGGCTTCTCCTTCCACTTTTCTCTCTCTCTCTCTCTCTCTCTCTCTCTCTCTCTCTCCCTCTTCCCATCCCCCTTTCTCTTTCTGATTTTGCAGCAGCCTCGCCTGTATAACGTGCACTGTACTCTTGTGTACGTTCAAAGTCGATTTTTCGCGACCATGAGTCGACTGCTTCTTCTTCTCTTTATTCTGCTTCTTCCCATCTTCCCATGACTCTCGAGGCGAGGACGAGCATATATATATATATATGTATATATATATATATATATGTATATATTAGGCGGAGAAGAGTGGAAACCTTTCACTGTGGGAAAGGCACGAAATATATCGCGGATCGATAGACTTTCGGAAGTTGGCAAAGCTACGCCAAGAAATTTTCCTCGTGTTGTAACGTGTAAGAAAGCGAGGGAAGATTCGTCGTCGAGATTGTGCAGACTCTCCAATGATGCTCATATTGCTTCGTATTTCAGACTGTTAATTATGGCTTTTTTGCTTCTCCTTCTTCTTCGTTTTTCAAGGCTTAATTGATGGGAGGTAGAAAGCCGTAGATAATGCTCAGATGTACATGTAAGTGTGGGCCGTTGATGGACTAACGGCAGTATCCTGCGGCGAGAAGAGTAGTAGAAAGTAGTGGTTTTTCTTGCTATTTTTTGTCCGATGCAATGCAGTTCGATCGGTGCTTTGATTGGATAATGACAGCAACGGCATACCATGGAGAGTGCTGTGAGCCTGCATGTACCAAATGATAATACTAATATAATATTATTATTATTTATATTTCATGTAGTTCCTTACTTATCATTATTTTAAGAAACTATTAAATATATTGTTTATGAAATTAATTTATCTTCAAATTAAATTTTTAATATAATTAATTCGAACATTTAACTCTATAGTGTATTAAAAATCTCTGATTCAATTATATTATTAATAAAGTAAATAACTGAGTATTCTTGTATAAAAGTAATATACAAATTTAATAAATCTAAAGTATATATAAATAAATCTAAAATAATTAAATTATTATCTTAGTTAAATCAAATATATGCATAATATCAAACAGTTAACATATGGTCGAAATTAAATTATTTAAAATTTAATCGTAAAATAAATAAAATAAATAATAAATAAATAAATAATAAATAAATAAAATCATAAAATACTATTTTATGATAAAATGAATATTATTTAAATATTTATTGTAATTTCATAAAACGCAAATTATTATAAAGAAATTAATTTTCAATGAGGAAGAGAGAGAAACAGAGAAAAGCGTTGACCATGGGGCACTTAGCGTATGTAATGTATGTGCCAACCGCTCATAGCTGCCAATGTAACTGCACATTGCATGCTTCCGGGTCGTCTGATATTCTCTCCCTGGTTTTCTTTCTCTGTCATATGCACCCCTGTTTTATCAATTGCCCATAATTTAGTATTATTCTATCTTAATATTCATTTACAATATTTTTATCCGTACTATTTAGTATGTTTATAGTTGTATTTTATGACATATTATGATGTATTAATCACCTTATTTAATTCATATTTCATTAATGTAGCATTTATAAATCATAGTGTGTTAATGAATTAAGGAAATATTTAATGAAATATATTGCTATTTATTTATTTATTTTTTTTATAAATTAAGTCTCAAATTTTTTATTATAAAATTTCAAGAATATTAATGTAAATAGTGAATAGCAAAATCGAATTTAAATAGCTTATTGAAATATATAGGTATAAAATAATTATGACTGTAATTAAATTATTTGCATTCAATCTAACGTGTATTTACTTAAACGATTTCAAGTTTCAGTCATCAAAGGTTACGTAAAACACTTGGATCAAAGAACATATCATACAACCTTGCTATACTATTTATATTTTTGCTGCGTATCAATTTAAGTATTGGCAAATGCAATACATGATAAGTAAATAGGTGACCAAATTTCAGGGATGAAAAAGGGAAGCGAAACCATTTCGAGAGTCTTATTGTGTAAATAGCTTAACGTCAAAGTACTTGGGCAAGGCGTGTAAATCATGAGTGGTCGATTGCTTTTTGCTTTTCTCGCCTTATACGATACTCGTAATCAAAGTCGTAGGGCGATGCAACGTCATGAACCAGAACCGACGTCTCACCGCTTACAATTTTTTTGCATTTTGGTGAGAGCTTTTCTAGCATAACTAACGTGTTTTGGTGATAAACAAACGATGAATAGTTCAGTCGTCGACTGATGTCTTAATACCTTCAGTATTCTAAGCGCGCATGCATGATGCGTTATGTATTTTATTTACTTATGGCTCTTGCTATTATTTCAATTTGTATTTGTATTGGGTACCTTATATAACCATATATGAAGATAAAATATTTATATCCTTTCTTTTGTGACTACAACGTGTGCTCATGCACGCACTACTGTTACGTAAATCGCTGTTTTGGCGAACGCATGGCTAGGACAATACGGATGATTGAACTGTGTTGCATCGCAAATAGCATAGTATGATTATGTGCTGTATTACTGTATTCTATTTGTGACAATGATTTCGTGAGATTTTCTATGCGTGGAAAAATATTAAAACTAACCGTATTTAATATACGTATAACAAAATTGCTTTTAAGTTTTATATAATTTATGGGTTTTATGTAATTTATGAGTGGCTAATGGCTTATACTATAATAAAGTATTTTGTTTTGAAGAAAAGAAAAGGTTCTAATTATATAATCACATACTTTCTATATTTTTACACGATAGTTTTCACTTTTATATACTTTTATTTAATTTAAATGTTAACAAAATTTGTTGGGATTTATTTTCTATAAATACTCAGTGCGAATAGTTAGTAAACGCAAGTATTTTTTTAATAAATATTTAATTATTTGCGAACTGAAGTTATAAAAATAATTCATTGTTTCAGAATCATATTTTCAAATTAGTAAAAATTATGTAGAATTTATTATATTAGCAGATACTTTTAATTTGTTAATAATTATTCAAATACTATTAACACTTGTATAATTATTATTTTTATAAAAAATAAAAGTTTTAATTTTAAATTGGTTTTGTTGGATCTCGTTTGAGTATTCATTTAAAATTTAAGTTCGTTGTAATTAAATCAGACAAGAAATAAATTAAATTTCAATAGCCTTAATAAATCTAATAATTATTATGAGTCCTATATTATTAATAAATTAAATGGTTATTTAATTGTAAAATTTATTCTAAATATTGTTAATTACTAAAACATGTATATTTAAATATTCTTAAATTTACCAATTCTTAAAATATCTATATTTAAGTATTGTCAATTATTAAATTATATTTGTTTTTATCGCAATAAATCGATGTTTATAGATAAGAAATTTTTGTGCAATTAAATAAATTAATTAGTCTTTTATTTTAAAAAATATCGTTACATTTGGTTTGAAATTATGCATATTTTGAATTTATTATATTCAAAGTGTATGCGTATACACTAATCATTGACAGTTACAAAGCACTTCCAAGCTATTAAACTTCTATTTGTTCTACTTATTATAACGCATGCGCAGGCGGGAATAATGGAAATGGCGGTGGTGGCGGCGGCATTATTGGTTTGGAAAGAACAAGTTTTGGCAGTGGCAGCGGCAGCGGCGGTGGCGGTGGCGGTGGAGGTGGCGTCAACGTCGGCGTCCGTCCGCAGCCACGCGCCCGACGTACTCAACGTCGCGTCACTCACTCTGAAAAGCGCTATCATTCAGGTAGCCCTTGAAACGAGGATTTTATACTGTTATGCTCGTTGTTCTGTTGCATTTAAAATTTTTTCATCTAGATGCACTCAGTCAGTTAATTTATCATTTTGGTGAAAATTTATCTAGAGTAAGGATGTAGTTTATGATAAGTTTGACTTTCCAACACAAAGGAATGTTATTATAAAATGTTCATTGCTGTTTACTTACATTATTTTATAATTATAAACATTCCGATTAATATTAAAATAAAGAATTTGTATACGAATTAATTAAACCTGTAAATAATGTATAGAAAAACAAAATAAGAAGTTATTATCATATATTTATATCAATATTTATGGTATTTAAAGATTTTCATAATTAAATATATAAAAACTGTCATACATATTTGTTATTTATAATCCTATAATAATTTCGTATTTTTGTTAACAAAGGAAAAACATTTAAATTAGCTATTTTGTATTTTTCTATTTTATAAAGTATAACATCTGTATCTTTGTAATTACTCTTCAGTGTTTTTACAATTACGTGAGTATGTAAATATTGTTCATGAGTATAAATGAAGATAAAGTATCGTCTTTTAAAGATATACATAAAGTATGTTACATGTAGTTTTTATTATTCGAATGTATTGAAAAAAATAAAAGTAAAATGGTTTGAAGTGAACCAATGTTACAATATGTTGTATTTTTATCATAAATTTTAATCAAGAAATAACTTTGTATGTAAAAAAATTTAAATAAGTATATCGCTAGAATAAATAATCGTTAAATAATACTTAACTTCGATTACCAAATGGATTTTGACTGAGTCTTCTATTTGCAACGAATTGATGGATTTTTATGCATTTTCGTTCGTTCTTATTTATTTTATATTTTGTATGTCGCATATGTACTAGATAATTTTAATTTATTATGTGAACTTTATAAGTTATTGAGAGCTTTTTAATATCTATACATAATTAGAATGAGAAATATTTATATTAATAACACATTAAATATACCAAAATAACTTGGGATAAAGGTAATTATAACAATTTAATAGCAATATAATAAAGAAATATGATTTCTGATAATTCAAAATTGACATCTATTTTGTAAATATAAAACAAATAGTTCTTTAATATTTGAAAATGTTGAATTTCTAAATGAAATCATATTTAAAAATTATAGTCTATTAACAAACATGTGTTTGTTAATAAATATATTAATATAAAATACTGTTTGCAATTAGTTTAATTATTTAATTATGCATTATTGTAATTATTAGTAATTGTTATTATATCAAGCATTACACTAAAGAGATGTTATATTCAAATATTATTATAGTTGTAGGAAATTTTTTAAATTACTGGTACATCAAACCTTTATATCAATTGATAATGACTGTCACCAGTTACTAAAGTACAAAACTGTCTATCAAAAATATAATAAACTATCGTTTGATTACTAATTTTCTTTTTATGAATAGAAATAATGCTTTAATGAGCATGTAATATTAATAGATCATAACGATGATTCGATGGTTCCTGAGAATCCAAAAAGTGTCATGTTTATACGCATTCCACAATTGTATTTTGATTCGAAAATGGACTGAATGTACAATATATTACAATATATTAAATTAATTACTCCTTTTAATTTAAATTTTATATTTGTTTAAAAATTCTATTTACTATTATTGATAATGTAATTCACTTTTGCATAACTATTATAAAATCAGCGCCTTTTAAAAAGCATTAATTCCCGCACGCTTCTCTTTTTCTTTTTTTGAACATTTTGAGACTTTCAAACTTTGTGTGTTTTACTTCTGCGATTAAAATATAAAATATAGAAAAAAGTAACGAAGAGGAGTCTAATTCAGTTTACTGATGATGTTCTATTGCATACTATTTTATTCTTGCTTCATTTGCTTGGGATCAATATTATTATAATGGTCTTTTTAGTTGCCTTGGTAAACAATTATTTTCTTACGGTTTGATAATGATCTTGGAAGTTTTCTATTTCATAGTTTTTACAACCTTATATTGTTTTTCTCTGGTTATTAGTTGCTTCTAATTTTTATTGCTATAAATTATTGTATTTTATTGATTAATTTTTGCTTTTTATTTCTTCTTAGGAGATACTTATCACTAATTTGGAGGAATTAAAATCATCTTAATAAAAATTTTAACATAATATTTTTTTAAATTTTTGGCGTATCATTATTAAAAATGAAAGTTATACAGAATTTTTATTTTAATGAATACATTTTTTATATAGAAAATACATTCTAAAGCAGCAAAGAATTAATTTATTTCAAAAATAATAGCGTAAAACTTTTTTGTTATAGATATTTTATATATTTTTTTATATGCAATAAATAGTTTTCATTATTTATTTGTTCTAATTATAAAATTTAAAAAAATCTCAGATTATAAAAATATTTAATCTAAGAAATAAGGTAATTTCCAATATTTTAATAAATTTTAATTTTAATTTTAACTAAATCAAATCCTTTATAAAAGATAATTTTAATAAAAGTACTAGATTTATTATTTATAAAGAAGGGTCTTTTAAGTAATATTAAATGTTTGTGAGCAGATTAAATTTTTTTTAATTGTAAATTTTCAGTACACATTAAAAAATCAAATTTCTTAAATATAATATTGATAATAATTAATTATATTAATAAAATCAAAATTTATTTTAATGATGTTTCATTAAATCTTACAATATTAAATAGTGTCTATAATTATAGTAATTTAAAAGCATTTTTATATTTTATTACAATTTTTAAAGTATAGCAAGAAGTTTACTTCAAGTTTAATTCCAATTTTTATTCTATATTTTCTATGATTCAATTTAATTATATTTATTTACAGCTTTGTTAATTCGTCTACAGTTGAGATCAAGGTGATATGTAATGTATCACATAAAAAAATATTAATTAAACGTATTCTTAATAAGCTTTTTTTTAAATATATATTTAAAAAAGTTATATTAAAATATTTAATATATCGATAGATGAATTATAAAATATATTTTTATAAAGATGAAGAAAATTAATTTAAAATTTACTATATGAAATTAATTTTAAAAAAATTTAACGCAATGAAAAGCAATTGATAATTGAGTTATAGTTATAGCTTATGAAGTGATTACGATGTATTTGTATTTTATAATTAATCAGTAATTCATAAGAAATTAATTTAAGACAAAATTAAATATATTATAATAAGAGTAAAATAGTGATAAGTGTCTCAAAAGAGTGAAGTTAGTAAATCGTCCATGCTCTTGTTATATCTTCATACATACTTCATACATTCGTCTTCACCAGGATTTGGTGTCTATGTTTTTTGTCGTTGTTGTTGCATGCACCAGGCGGACGCCTAGTACCTAGTGGAATAGCCAGTCCTCCGGGATCTGGCAGCTCCACGAGCAACAAGAATAACACTGGCAACTCAAATTTGGCAGCGACAAGACGTGGAAACCGCAGACTCACGCGCAATGAAAGCCGCTATCATTCTGGTGAGTATTTCTGCGCACGCGCAAACACCCTCAAACTTAAACCATCAATGGACGAACGGGTGTATTGCAAAGAGGAAATCCGTATGCTTACAAATCGAGAATATATTATAGATATAATATAAGAAGATGGCATTTATAGATTTTCTTCCTACTTGAGAAGAGTATTTAGTATCTGTTTTTTATTAGATAGATTCTGGTTATACTTGCATGTTACATTGGTAGACACTGGTATTTTCGTTAATTGTTATTGAAGAATAATTATGATTCATAAGGTTAGTTTAAATAAAAAATAACCAATAGAATCATAAAATACTTGTACGTATATTTTGTACACGTTAAAATTTTTTTAAATTTTATAATAATAAACCATATAATGACTGGATTGACAAAAATGTTATTAAAAAATATTTTTAAAATTTCAAGATTGTAAATTTGAAAATAAATATGCTAAAAACATAAAGCTATAGTGGATTACTTATATAAAATACATAATGATTTGAATCTACAAAATTATTCTCAGAATTATAGTAAAATGAATACTCGGTGGTAATACCTTTAGGCTCTTGATATAATGTTTTATAACATTTTATTTGTGTGTTATTTTATTTTAAATTATTTTATTTGTATTATCTTATTTTATAGATATTATATAGATTTTATAGATACGAATAAATATTCGTACCTATAAACACACATAGAAAATTGGAAATTAAATAATATTTGTTAATAATACAATTTAAGAATTTAAATGTTGTATAATTAATTCATATTAAAATTTACGTAAAAAATTCATTACATAAATTAATAAAGTAGTAAATTGAAATTATTAATCTAAATTGATTTAAATAATATTATTGCTAAAATTTATAATTAATAGATCTTTATTTACGAAAATTAAATTAAATTTTTCCATGCCATGTACATAGAAGATGCTTTCCATATAAGATACTTTAAAATTATTTTCAACAACATTCATTTTGAAACTGTATTCTAACATGAAATATATATAATTATTGTTGAATGTTTACAATTACTAATATTTTTAATATTTCTTTCAAAACGAACTAAGTATTAAATTATATCAAATCTGCATTTAAAGTATGAATGAAAGTTTCTATTGTAAATTACTGCTAAATATGTAAGTAAGTTTTATATAAAATTTTAATTCTCTAAAATATTCATTATCAATTTTTCTATGAAATAATGAAAATATTATGATGAACTTAATTAAATTATTTCATGTTTAACTTTTGAGTTTTTATAAATTTTGTGTTTTTATTATTTCATCTTATAGTATTTCATGTATAATTGCATTTTATGATATTAATTTTTGAATTATTGATGAAGTTTATATTATATTTTACTTATTTGGTGAGAGGTTGGTCCTATATGTCCGTAATATATCATTGTATTTATACATTTTTTATGTATTTAGGAATAGTAATTAAATTATTTTATGATATAATTACTTTAATTTTTATGTAGAATTAACTTATAAAATAGATTAATTTTTTTATTAAAAATAAATATTTTCTTATTCAATGCAAGTAGATTAATAATATTTTTATAAAATTATTTATATATTAAATCGTTATATACAAATTTTTTGTTATATAAAGTATATAGTTACATAAATTTGTTTTGAAAACATTTAAAATAGTATATTGATAGAAATAAATATCTAAATTAATGTTAAAATAATAACTTTTTATATATGGATAATAAATTGTTTGATATAGGTAAATTACAAACTCTGTAAGTTTTAATTTGTTAGTAATTTCACTTTGAATCTGAATATTAAATAGTTAATAATAAAAAATTTTCATTTATTTGTTAATTTGACTAGTTTTCACTCATTTAATTTCGAAAGTGAGTAAGTTTGTGTATAATTTTAATGAGCTAGTTCAAATAATTAAAACCGCGTATATAACCGTGAATTTCACATTAATATAAGAATATTACTTTAGCGTTAAAGACATTATTAATATAACATTATTTAATGTATTTTTGCTTACTCATTATTATTGGCCTATAAAAAGCCCGTAGGTATACGCGCACAGATAGAGAATTTATATTATACATAGTCTATTAGCTAATATAAATTATAATGTGCATATGTGATCTCACAAACAATAACCTGAAAAAGTAGTATTATTCAATTCACGTAGCCAAGCATACTTAACGTGTATAAACTTCCAGTTATTTTGAAATAATTCCTTTAAAAGCTTTAAGGTTTTAAAAGTACATTTTAAAGGCACAATTGCACACGCAAATTAAAATATGCGAATACTGTACTACCTAGTAAATTTCGCATTAGCGTTCTGCTAATTGAAGTTGAGCTGCTTTAAAACAGCGAATTCCTACGGATTTCGTAATATTCTTGTCGCCTGGCTATTTTCAAGAAATCCGTATAGTAATGTCTGCTCATTACGCGATGCATCTTAAGTGGAACGACTCTTTTTATGACATTTACGTGAATTACTGACAATTTCGATATTTTCATACATCTTATCATTCAATGTAATCGCAACGTCTTTCATACATACAAGATGTATTGTGGTATAAAAATTATATATAGTGTATATGTCGCCTACCGAAACAGGTTTTATTTAAGCTGTCATTTCAATGAATGTACTTATAACTTTGATAAATATTTTTAATGAATTTCAATAATTATAAAATTTTTAATTATAAAAATTTATGAAAAAATATATTATTATTAATAATTAATATTCAAAGAATATTTATATTGGATATTTATTTAAGCAATGGTATTGATTCTTACAAATTTTGACCAATCATTTTTCATCTTCATAAAAGATATTTATATGTCGCAGATGATGTATTTGTGGTAATTATATACACTGCTCTATGAGACTGTACGATCAAGTATTATAAATTATTTCAAATTACTATTTAATACATATAAGATAGATAGATGGACAGATAGTGAAAGTTTATTCTAAAATCTAAAATTCTTAGAAGTTTTAATCTTATTTTTCTATCATTTGAATTAAAGATTAAGTATTGGATAGTATTTTTAGAAGTTGTAAAACTAATATTTAAAAGTATATATCTGTTTCAATAAAATAGTTTCATTTGAGTTATTTACTTTTCGTATATGTTAAGTTGCAACGAAAAATTATATTTAAACAAGCTATATTAATAATAATCGATATTTACCTAACAAGTAATTTAAATTGAAGTAGAATGTGTAATAATACTTTGCTCTCTAGTTTAAAAAATGTATATTTTTCATAGAAGTTTTAATTAGTTAATTAAAACTTTAAAAAATTGATGTAATCATCAAAATAGAACTAAATGAAAATTTAATATTTTAATATTGTATTTCAATTAGAAATATGATATATATTTGGAAATATAACTTTATAATTTTGAAAATTTTATGAATTAAAAAGATTATTTAAACGAGCTTTATATAATCACGAAACATATAATAATAGCTTCATTAGATTAAAAACTTGAACAAGTTGTAGATAAAGATATTTACAGTTGTATAATATTGATAAAATTACATGCATAATTCAGTGTTAAAAGCAATTCTATATTTTTATGTTATAATTTTATATATTGTCAGCCTTTCTATTTTCAATTTAGTTATTGTATCCTCATCATTTTAATAAACCAAGATATAATTAAATTGAAAAACAGAAATTGTATGTGAGAGAAAACTTGATTACTTAAAAAATTGCCTTGCAAATCGACGATAAATTGTCTCACACATTTATCGAATGAATATAAAAAAGTTTTACTACTGATTGCATGTTCTCCAATATGAGTATCTATGATTTAGTATCAATATTAATGCTACTCTCATAATTTCTTGGCATGAAAAAACGCACACCATATAGATGAATCAGTAATAAACTCGTGACGAATAATCAAAACGTAGTGGCGAAATTAGCTGTCGAAGCTGCATTCCATGGTCGGTAATACACGCGCGCGCGCGCGCGTGTGCGTACTGCAACAATGGATCCACCGGTGCAGGAAAAATGTACCAAGAGCCCTCGAGACAAAGCAGCTCTGTATCCCATGCGTGGGCACGCAGGGAAAGTTGCGGACTCTCTCATGATATACGATGACGGCGGGGTGTGGTGGGGAAGGGGGACTGGGATAGAAAGGTCAGCACCGTAGCGGCCGGCTCGGTATGTCCATTCCGTTTTCTACGATCTACGCACGATTAGCGCCTTTCGTAAGAGTGGCGCACCGCCTAACGCCTCGAGGATAGTAAAATATACCGGCGGATTGTATACGTGTGGGCAATTGGCCGTAGCAAGCGAGTGCCATTCGTCACTCGCCCGTATGCTGAGCGAATTACGGTACGGTCGCTTTAATCTTAGGACACGGATATTTGCGCTCTTATCCCAGCTCGCGCTAACGGTCTTTCCCGCTGGAATTTTGCGCCCTATGTGCTTGTTCTTAGACCGGTCTCTCTTTTCCGTCATCCCGCCATCCTACCCATCTACCCTCTCTTATTTTCTCTCTCTCTCTCTCTCTCTCTCTCTCTCTCTCTCTCTCTTGCACTTACTCACTCACTGACTCACTCATTCACTCTGCCGGTACACGATAAAAATTTGACAACGTTGTAGGAAAGTATCCTATAAGAACTTTGGTCTGGAATTAGTATTACTTCATCTCTACATCACGCGAAAACTCAATTTAACTGGACCATTTGCTTTCCTGTTGTTAACGATGGAGTTTTAAGGCTGATATTCAACATGTGTTCATGTGGTATGCCAAGATATTAGACATATAACTTCTATTTTTTTTTTGTATAAATTCTATTATAAATTTCAATTATAAAATTCTATTATATAAACAAATAAATTTTTGATTATAAAATTATTAATATTCAAAAAAACTTTAATTTTCGTAAATATTAATCGTTATTGATTAGAATATATATATATATATATATATATATATATATATTATTAACTTTGCTTATTTATCCTTATCAAAAGAATATAATATATATTCACTTTCATAATTTCTATACTAATAATTGTATACAACTGAATTATATTTCTGCATATTAGATAACTATATTACCATAATAATAGATGATTTTTTTATAGAATTACTATAATTCATTATAAAACATATTTTCGTTAGAGAAACAACTAAAAACTCATTTTGATCGGTGAAATTCGGTGAAAATCGGTTCATATTTTTGTCATTAGTGCATTTATATTTTTCTGATTCTAATAAAATAATAAATTTTACACGATTTTATATTAAATCAGGTCATCAAATTTATTTTATTCAATAGAAAATTATATACCTGATCTTAAATCTAAATAAATAAAATACATTGTATTACTTAAAAAAGTTTTTTGTTTTAGTATTTTTCATTGTTTGAAATTATAGAAAAATATCTAAATACGTTATTAATCTTTCTACTGTTTTTGCAATATATTATTGAATTACTTACACAAATTTTATATAAAACAAAATCAAATTAGCTTTAATAAATTGCTAAGTTTAAACTGAATTTAAGAATTAATGATTAGGTCGAGATTTTTATGTTAGAAATCGAAATTAACATATATTTTCTTTAAACTGTTTTTTTTTCATACTTTTCGATTGATTTGAAAAAATTACAAAATTATTATTGGAAATTACGGGTAAATATTTAAAATTTTCGTTTTTGAAGAGAGTAATTTATTTTAAATATAAATTATATAATTGATTTTATGTGATTTTATTGAAATTTTATTTGGGGAGGTGCACACTTATAATTAAAAAAAATTATAGTTATCTTTTTTTTCGAAATAATAAATATCAAGTACAAATTTTATTTTAAAAAATGATCAATGAAAAGGAATTTTGAGGAATATTGCATACTAAGTTCATAATATTTGTAACGTTGAGTTCATAATGTTTAATTATATTTCATTAGATGTACGCTGTATTTATTAGTATAGTAATTTGCTTTTTTTTTAAGTATATTAAGTGTACCTACTGGGTTTTAACACATTCATTACTGCAGCTTTAGCGATAAATTGTATAAAACCTTGTATAGTGTGGTCCATGAATATAAAAGTAATATTTAAATAATTTTAATGAAAGCGCGAAAATATTGCGCGGAAATTTGACATTGAATTAAGAAGTATTGCATGACAAATAGCGATTAGATAGATGCAAATATTTATTATATTTACGATTTTCGACTCTGCAATAATTAAAAATGAAGCATCGTGATTGAAAAACATTATGACGTACATATTTAAAACAATTATTTGAACAAACTCAGGATTTCAAAGTAATTAAAAAAGTTTAAGTACAACTAATTTTTCAATAAAAATTTATTTGAGCAAGCTTATGAGCGGTGTGGTTTGGTTTGTCGACTGCAGAAGTAAGGCAAGAGGCGGTGCAACAGGCGTTAGCAGCTATGCAGAGTCGACCTAAACCTTCACTGCCAATGCCCTCGAAGCGGACTTCGGTGATGGCTCGCAGTCCCGAGCGCTCAGAACGTACAAACTCAGGTCTAACCGGACACACGGGCGGTGCCGGCGAATCCAGTAGCGATGAGGACAGCGTGGTCACGGAAGAAAGCCCTGGAGCGGGTGGTCCTAGTGGTACTGGGCTCTCGGACACAAGCAGTACCGGTTCCGCAAGGGACACGCCGCCGCCGCCGAGGCCGCCTGCCAGAAGGCCACCCGCTGATATTACTGACATCGCCGAGTACACTCCCCATGCCTACTGCAACCTCGTGCAGCCACCCGATGTCACGCACACCAACACGCAATCACGACGACCAGCAGGTAATCAACGTACGTCGTGACCTGTCGATTGTCCCGCATCATACCGTTATCATACATATTCTTACTATAGGAGGATGTTATTAAATCTATTAATGCTGGGGGTGAAAAGTGTCACGTTAGAGATGAGTTTTTCAACAGAGATTAAATTTCTTCTTGAGTTATTTTACTTATGATAACTGTAATATGATTTAATATGGGGAGGTACACAGTATAGTTTCATTATTTCATAATTATAGTTGAAAGAGTTGCTTTGGCGTATTAATTTATTGATAAACCTGTAACCTCGATGAAATATCTTGATATATTGGAATATATTGGTATATATTAGTAATATTTTGGCATATATAGGTAATATAAAATTCATTTACACATTGGAAAACATATTTTTAATCTGATTATTGCAAAGGATTAATCTGTATCTACATCTCTATTCTTAAATATGCATTATATATATATACAAATTGAAATTGAAATAAATAAATTAGATCGTACAAATCTATCATGTAAAAATATGATTATAAATTATTACAAAAAATTACAAATTATAGAATTGTAAAATATCTGAACGTTTAAATACATTTAATTTGTTACATATTAAAAATCTGTATAAGAATAATTATTTATAAAATTTACATTCATATCAATTTAACATTTAGAAATTTAACATTTTTCTTTCAACAGTTTACATAACATGAATTTGATACAACCTAATGACCTTGACTTTACTAATGTTAATGACTATCTAGAGTTTTTAATATATTATTGATGATTATTAAAATTTTAATTTTGAACACGCATATGTTTTTAATATTTTTCATTACATTTCCAGATATTAATTATTAACACATAATTTTAATAAATGATTCTATGCTTAATGTACATATATCAATCTGATGTCAATTCTTAAATGGACAGAATATTTTAGTTCGTCAAATATGAACCATTCGTTTTAATTAGATCTTGAAATTGTATTTGTATTTAAATATGTTCTATATAATTTATTCATATTCCAAAAACTTGTTTTTTGTTTCAATTACTTCGTAATCAGTAAGTAAGCAATAATGAAATTTGAATAACTTATAGTTTAAAAATAGGTATGTCTGTAAATTTTGTACTTTTTTCTTGCCCAAGAATAAAATTTCTAAGTAATAGAAATGAATAATGTAAGAAAATTTTTATTAGGAATTTCATGTTAAATTCTCTATCGTTTTTTCTTTGTCAAAATAAAGAATATTTTTTTAATCTACTATATCAAGTATTGCACATTTTGTATAAATTGTTATACTTTAACAAATACTATACTAAGAGATAAATAAAACCTGTAAAAGTTAAAAAAATACTTTTATTTTTGTATTTTTCTTATATAGATGTTTCCAATGCAATAATAATTATGAACAATCTTTGAATTAATAAAAACATCTTAAATAAAAGCAACTCTACTATAACTTTTAACATATTATTTATCGTGAAATGTTTAAAAGGTGCAGATCGGGTAAACCGATATCACGTAGTAGAAGAAAATAATACAGGAACGACGGGACGCTGGAAAGTCTCAGCAAAAATCCAACAACTATTAAATACTCTGAAACGGCCAAAGCGCAGGCCACTGCCGGAGTTTTACGAAGATGACGACATTGAGCTAGAAATTGCGGCGAATCCAAAAGATCCAAATGCTCCTAAACCGGAAGGTGGCACTATGACACCAGCCGTCGGCGAGCAGCTCTCCGTGCCTTCCGGTCTTCCTCGATCCGTCGAAGCTTCCATTCAAAGGTTCGTACCAGTGTCTGCCGAACGTTCTTTTTACGGTGAATCTCGTATCTTCCCATTTTTATATTGCTACAAGAAAAAATATTAGTGGCATATTCTAAATTAAAATTTTTTAATTAGAACATTTGAACGTTCATCACTAGATATGCCAGTTTTGATAAACTATCTTCAAATTAAACGGATAATTTATTTTTATCATTTAATCCTATCTCCTTATGTTTTCCAAGACTTTATTGATACTGTTGAACGCACCTACACACACACGCGCGCGCACACACACGCACACATTTTTTATTTCTATTTTTATTCAATAATTACCAACTTGTATTTTATCATAATACTAATCTTGGAGTGAAATTTAGACGAATTAAAATAATAGAGAACTATTTAATTATGGGGCTACAGTTATTTTAAATTGTTATGCTAATTAATTTAAATCGTAATAGTAAGTACTTGAGTCAAATTAAAGCAAGGATTGAAATTGATTTTATCCCAATAATAAGTTAATTTCCTCAATTAACCTGCAGATACGGTTCGGCGTCATACAAAGCACCAGCAGCAACAGTCCTAGATCCGAATGGCAAGCTCTGTGTGACGCTGACATATGGGAAACTGCTAAGTCGCTCCTACAAAATAGCATATACGCTGTTAAACAAGGCGTTAAGTAGAGTGGTAGGGGAGTGCTGCCTGAAGCCTGGTGACCGAATCGCTCTCGTCTATCCAAACGATGATCCCATCAACTTTATATGCGCGTTTTACGGCTGCCTACAAGCGGGTATCGTGCCGGTGCCCATCGAGGTGCCACTCACGCGCCGCGACGCTGGGTCTCAGCAGATCGGCTTCCTCCTCGGAAGTTGTGGCATACAGGTCAGTGTTCACCTTGAATTGAGAGAATAGTAGGGTTTCTCACTCAATGTTCAAGCATATTCTATTTTCTTTTGAAACAAATTTTATAGTGTTGGATTTTTTTTTAATTTGGGATATATCGATTACTAATGAGTCATAAGTATATGTTACGCTACATTACGTTAGAGCACAAAGGAAAGGTCTTACATACTTTCATAAAATAATATGTAATTGCATAATTTTACATACATTTGTTTACTTGTGAAGAATAGCTTATATTTTTTTATGTTCATAAGATAATTTTCACTGCAAAACATATCGTTTTAGAATTTTTATCTAATTTTTATTTTATCAAATATACTTATCTTATAAATCGCTTATCAATAAATTAATGTAATAGGACAATTTTTATTATACAAAATGGACGTGGAGATATTTTCAATCGATCAAAATATAGCCATTAGCTACTTTCGATTAAATTTCACTATACTTTTCGACTAGATCAAAAACCAATTTCTAAAAAGAAATTCATTATTCCAATATATATTTGAGATAAACTGTCACCTACTATACTGAAACACGATTTTAGACTTTCTCACATTATTTGAACTTTAATGATTAATTATAATGTAAGGAGTACTGTAATTTAAAATATTTTATTAAAAAGATATTGTAAAAAATGGGAAAATAAAAACTCTTAAATCTTTGAAAATCTATAAATTATACCAATTAATGAATATTATTTTTAATATTTTTGTTTAAAAAAATCTGTATGATAAATAACTCAAATTTCACAAAAAAATGTTATAATATTTTATGTCGTTTATTATAAAAAAAAATAATTAAAAGAAATTATTTATTAAATGAATTATATTAACATAAATGTTTTCACATATATTTACATATATTATTTTATTAACATATATATTAACATATATTAACATAAATTTTATCAACAAGTGATATAATTTAATGATCAATAATATGAATTTATTTGATAATTATAATACGTGTGTTAAATTGAAATTAGTCCTTCTTTATTTAATTAAGTTTTCAAATTATCTCTTGATCATTATATATGCTTGAAATTTTAATATTTTTTAATAATTTTTTTATGCATTATATAAGCAAAGACTATAGAAAAACTGAATTCCTGATTTTTGAGAACCTTAATCATGATCTATTTTTATCTTATTATGAAAGTGGGTATTATTATGAAAACCTACCTTGTATTTTTTGTAAGCTCCGACTCTGAATTACTGGAAAAATATATGAAATGGATTTATCGGATATTTGTATAGATTGGAAATAATAATAATAATAAATACTAATAATAATAATAAGAGAAAAACAAAAATATAAAGCACAATGAAAACAGTAATATTTATAAAAAATTTGAGTATATATTAAATGAAAATTCATATCTATTAATTGAAAAAAATTATACCAAATTAGACTATTCTTACAATTGGTTATATTAAAATTCGGATAAAATATAAAATATATGTTACAAATCTGCATTTGATTTGTAAATATTTTAACTATAAATTCATTGTTAACAATTTGTATATAAGTAAACCCGAATTTATATCTATAAATAAACACGAATGTTATTCATCTTCGGTTTGCATTTATATCTACTTAAACTTATTTACGCTTTTAATTAATTAAGAATTTCGTTTTCACTCATTTATAAAATAAATCCATGACTCATAAAAAAGTCATCTGTTCAACTAATTAAAGGAAAATGTGATGTTGAATTTAATTGTAGGTTGCGTTGACGAGCGAGGCATGTTTGAAGGGTCTTCCGAAAACTACTGCTGGTGAGGTCGTCGCATTCAAGGGCTGGCCGAAGCTGCATTGGTTCGTGACGGAGCACCTGGGTAAAACACCCAAGGAATGGATGCCACCAACGCGACTTACCGATGATACTCCAGCATACATAGAATACACTACTGATAGGGATGGTTCAGTCATGGGGGTTACAATAACAAGAGCAGCGATGCTCGCTCATTGTCGCGCTCTTACACAAGTAAGCGCATGTTGTATAAATTAATCTAAATCTAAAAAAAAAATTTTAGAAATATTTTGGACGAAAAATAATTTGTAATTATTTGTTTTTATTGTTTTAAAAAATCGATGAAAATACAGACAATTAAAATTTTTTTTTTTAATTTAACCTTGAACTATATAAATTTCAAACATACGGCATAAATTGTAATAGCGTAAGTTTCAGATATTTTATTTTATTTTTACCATAAAGAAAATTATGTCATAAATTATTATCATAATTAAGCACCATGTATGATTAGTGCATAATAATAATGAAAGATGAAAAATAATTTCTTCATAAATTAAATAATAAATTGATAAAGAGTTTGAAATTAATCTTTATATTTTATATCATATAATATTTCACTTTATGTATAACATTAACAATTATATTATATAATAAATAACAATTTCTCTCTGCAGGCCTGTGGTTATACCGAAGGCGAGAACGCCGTTTGTGTGCTTGATTTTAAGCGTGAAGTTGGTCTGTGGCACAGTACTCTGACAAGTATTCTGAACGGTATGCACGTTATCTTCATTCCATATGCGCTTATGAAGGTAAATCCAGCGAGTTGGATGCAGATGATAACAAAGCATCGTGCTAGTGTGGCAGTCGTGAAGTCCCGGGATTTGCACTGGGGCCTCCTAGCTACAAAGGATCACAAGGACATATCGTTGTCCACATTGAGACTTCTGCTGGTAGCTGATGGAGCGAATCCTTGGTCTTTGTCATCATGTGACCAGTTTCTCTCGGTCTTTCAATCGAAGGGTCTCAGACCCGATGCCGTTTGCCCGTGCGCCTCCTCTAGTGAGGCTCTGACTGTGTCGGTGAGAAGGCCCGGTAGAGCAGGAGTCAACGCTACTGGCAGGGGTGTTCTTAGCATGTCTGGATTAAGTTATGGGGTTGTTAGAGTCGACCAGGAGAACTCACTAACATCCCTTACACTACAGGACTGCGGGCAGGTCATGCCTGGAAGTCAGTTGATTTTTAAATACACATTTATATGTTTAAACATGGCTTCGTAAATTTAATTACGAGTGTTGAATTTATAAATGGTATTGATTGTATTGGCACACAATTTAACATATAAGAATATTTTTTTAATTAAATATTTTTTATTAATTCAAAAAAAATGTAGCGCGAGCTCATATGTTTAAGGTAATTTATAATTTAACACGCTTTTCAATACATTTAGAGTGACATAGAGACAACATATAGAGACAACATAAAGATATAGAAAATATATGAGAATTAATAGATTAATTTATTATTTATTATTTATTTAATGTATTAAAATATATTCATATTCTTATTTGCTATATAAATTAATTTTTAATGAATTCATTAGATGAAAACATATAATAAATTATAACTAAATTATAATCTCGTTATATTCCAATATAAGAAATTTATCATATCATATATTAAATCATGATTCCTTTTTTAAATTTCCAAATTATAATTTCTGTTTATTATTCAAGTGCATTTAATCATTTTTGTAGACACTATTAATAATAAAAAAATAATAAATTTTTATTTAAATTCTTTTCTCAGCTATACTTACACTAATTATAGTGGAGGATCTTATGCAAGAAATATTATATAGATAATGCATGTAACTTACTGAAAGAATAACAAATTGTTGATAAATATATTGTTTTTATTTATCTAATAGACTATGTGACATATCAAATTAAAAGAAATTAACGAGAAAAACTGTATGTAATCGTTTTCATTGCTATCGTTACTAGGCATCGTAACAGTCATAAAAATGGAGGGACCGCCACTAATTTGTAAAACAGACGAAGTCGGTGAAATTTGTGTGCATAGCGCAGCAACGGGCAGCCAGTACTGGGGCCTTCAAGGCCTTACAAATAATAACTTCAAAGTATCACCATTGCAAGCTGAAAATCAACTGCTCGGTGATGTTGAGTACGCACGGTCTGGTCTCCTAGGATTTCTTGGACCCGGAAATCTTGTCTTTGTCTGTGGATCAAGAGATGGACTCATGACTGTTACCGGCAGAAAGCATAATGCCGATGACATCATAGCAACTGTATTGGCAGTTGAACCTATGAAGTTTATCTACAGGGGAAGAATTGCAGTGTTTAGTGTGAGGGTATTGAGAGACGAAAGAATATGCGTTGTTGCTGAGCAGCGACCAGATTGTAGTGAGGAAGAGGTACATTTTTCTAGAATATTCTACTCGCTATTATTCATGAAATATGTGTACTGGATCAGTGTATTAAAAGAAGTATATACAGAAAACTTCACTCGTTTGTTCATATTACTCGAATCATTTAGTTATATTTAAATCATTACAAAATTCTTTCATTTAGCTGAATGTTTTTTTAAATAGTCTTTTGTCTTCAACATATGTTTTGTCATACTAAAAAAATTTGAGATTAATAAATTGAAAACTAAATATTTCGTAACTTAATATATAAATGAAAAATAAGCTCTATTTATCATTGCATAATTTAGAGTTTCCAATGGATGTCACGAGTTTTGCAAGCAGTTGACTCCATTCATGCGGTTGGTATCTACTGTCTGGCATTAGTACCACCTAACTACCTTCCCAAAACACCTCTCGGTGGTATCCATCTCTCGGAGACTAAGAGACGCTTCCTTGAGGGCACGCTTCATCCGGCTAACGTCTTACTTTGTCCGCATACCTGTGTTACGAATTTGCCAAAGCCACGTGAGATTCATTCGGGTAAGTCAACCAACGCTAAAGCTCAAATCGAGTTAATGCACCCAAAGAGCGACAGTTTTATTGCATTTTGGACTTTTTGGCTTGGTCGCTATTGAGGAATCAGACGGATCAGTGCCTATCGGCTGCTTGAACCCTATAATTTTTGGGTTAGAATAATAGTCAAAATTTTTTCTTAGTCACTTTTCCTTTTTATTGAATGTTTACAGTAGTAGGAAAAATGAGTATCTTTAAAAAATTTATAAACTGTATTGTTATAGAAAAAAACATTTATTGATAAAGGTATTCCTGTCGTACTTGGTAACGTCAACTGGAATAAGATACTCTTAAATTTTTTTTTTTTTAAAGATACTTTTTTTAGCCAATATGCTTCTAGATATATAGTATTTAAATAAAGCTTTTGCTAATTTGTCAATGGATCACAAAAAGTAATTTTTATAAACAATTACAAAGTATTTTGTAATCTTTGTACTTGTTTATTATTATTAAACGCTGGTTTTATATTATAATTTATAAACGATTATAAAATTACTTAAAATAATTATTTATGCTTTTATCTTTGAATATTATAAATAAATCATATAAATAAATCATTTTAATTTAGCTATAATTTATAAACATATTTTAAGTAAAATAAAATAACATTGTCCATAAAATTATCTTTTATAATCGGTTATAAGATAAATCATTGTAAAAATAATCGATATTCCTATAATTAAGGAATATTAATTAAAAATAAATGTATACAATACTTAGTAACATTGTTTTATACTTTATAATTGATTTATATTATGATTGTGTTTGTTACATCGCAATTTATAATACCTCTATTTGTATTTAATTTTAAAAGTAGATTATTTGAATTTCTCTTTTTACAAAGACGGATCACAATTGGATACAATAAATAAATAAATTTAGTTTTGAAAAAGAATTATGAATATTTTAAAACTAACTATAAAATATTGCACAACTTTTACAAGTTTGATTGGCAATTATTTAATTAAACGCAATATTATTTCGCTTTTAATTCAATATATATATACTAATGAATTTTTATTTATTTAATTTAATTTTAATCGGTATTTAATAATCTTAAACACCTGAAAATATTAGGGTTCAATCATATAAACTGGCAATCTGATACTTTAATACGTCCAATTAATTTAGAAGTTTTTAAAATTTAAATGGCAATTAGAGAGCAAACTTCCTAAACTGAGTCGAAGATGTAAAATAAATAAAGTAGTAGAAGTAAATCATGAATACAGGCGAAATTCGGACCTGGTGATCGAATCCAAACAATGTCACTAGTACATACAATCGTGGGAGATGACGCAGCATTTACTCTCACGACTATTACAGTCATGACGTTCTGTAATTTTTAAATTATAATTTTTCTTTGTTTGTTTATTCTTCAATTATACTTCAATGTTAACGTTATTTAATTTCTATTTTCTCCAAATTCTTTCGGTTGCCACTCTTTCTTTTGGCTGAGTTCGTAAAAAACACCAAGTCTTTGTTAACCATATATCGGTAAGTATTTTACCACCAAATTTTAAAATACTTTTATCATTTTTTTCATAATTAACAAGAAAAATAAGTCTTTGAAGTATCATATATCAAGAATAAGTCTGTTTAATAAAGAATCTCATAAAAACAGTGTTAAATAGATTTACAATATATTTTTCATAATAACTTTTGAATTTATAAAATTGGTTACTCTATTAGTTTAAATAATTTCCTATTAAGATTAAATTAATAAACATTTGTTTATTAAGTTAAAATTTTCGATAAAAATAATATTTATTTTAAAAAATCTTAAGTTCACTAAAGTTTATTTCATTTGATACTTCTAACAAGTTATTTTTGAATCTTCAATTTTTCATCTTATCGTTTTCATTTAATATTGTTTATTTACATGATAATTTACGCAAGAAAGCTTTCAATTACCTTTATATATATATAACAACAAACAAAAAATTTAGTAAACTATTGGGAATATCCTTGTAAAATCTTGACATAAAATCTTGTAAACATTGGACAAAGTTGTTTTTTGTAATTGATACTTGAAAATACAAAATTCAAATTTATTTTTTTTGTCAATTACGATAGTAGTGAAAAAGCATTAGAAATAAAATGTGGTCGAATGCTTGTCAACCAACGTTATAAACCTTATGTATTTGACATTACGACATATACGCTAATACTAACCTACGAAAAATGCAATGGCAGTCATCATGCATACAAAAAATTGGATTTGATTGCTCAAGCCATTCATAAGTAAAAGAAAACAAATCGTAGTTGTCGTTGGCTAGTGGTTCTAAGTCTTCGGTTTCTCCGGCCTCAGTCAGGGAAGAGTTTTGTGCAGCTGCTCTTCAAAAATGGGTTTTGAGCATTTGCGTTGGTTTACTAACGTGGAGGTCACGGGGGCGTGTAGCGGGGGATTATGTTCCAGACGTGGGTCCAGCCAGTGTCATGGTGGGAAACATTGTCCAGGGCAACAGGCTGGCTTCTGCGCAAGGTAGAGATATGGGTGTCCTCGATGAGGACAGCGATAATGCCAAAAAGGTTGGTTCGATATTAAGTCACATTATTTGTTTCAGAACATTATAGTTATTTTTCTTAAAAATTCAATTAGATTTTTAGTCGATGAGCTTTTCTTTATATAATAAAAACTTTCGCGTAACAAATAAAATTTTAGATATTTTGGAATAATTTATTATGTAATTATTAAAATCTATGTATACTAAATATTATCATATTAAAATAATTCATCGTTTTTTGCTTGAAATATAATTATATTTTTTCATTATAATATTGCAATAACATAAGTTTTGTGACCTTTCATAAATTGATTCTCGTTAAGATACTGTTGACGATTAAATAAAAATAGGAAGTGATATAAAATAATATTTTGCATATACTTTCAACTTAATTCTGATTGTTTTAAAATGAAGAATAAATGGATAAATATATCATACATAATAATAAAATTTTCAAGTATATTTGTGCCAAATAAGATGTATGCGTATCACATCAATTTGACGTTAAAATATGTAAAAATACGCGTGCGTGTATGCATACACATACACATATGCATATACTTTACTGAATTCTGATATCGCTAATAAAAGGGAAGTCACAAAAATTTATAATACCTATCATTTTTTGCAGTATCAGTTCATTTCGGAGATACTGCGGTGGCGCGCAGTTGGTACCTCGGATCATGTGATATTCACCTTGTTAAATTCTAAGGGTGCGGTCGCAGCTTCACTGTCCTGTTCACAGCTCCATAAGAAGGCCGAGCGTATCGGCAATCTACTGATCGACCGTGCGAGGCTCAATACCGGCGACCACGTGGCCCTTCTCTTTCCACCCGGAACTGACCTTATATGCGCCTTTTATGGCTGTCTTTATGTGGGCGCTGTCCCGGTAACGATACGGCCACCACACCCCCAGAATCTACAGACGACTTTGCCGACCGTGCGGATGATTGTCAATGCCAGCGAATCCGTCATCATTCTTACCAATCAAAACATTATGAAATTGCTTAAATCTAAGGTTATTTAATGAATATTTGTAGATAATATTTTATGACTTTTATTATTATTACTTTTAGCTGGATTTTTTAGCACTATTTTATATATTTCAATTTTTAAATTAAAAACCACTTTTAATTAAATTGAATTTGAATTAAGTATTGTACTCGAATATCAATATTTTCATTCAAATGAAATGAATTTTTCAATTATTTGTATAATAAGTAGAATCATTATAAAATAATGGTAAATATAATTTTATTATAATATATTCGCTCAAATATTTTAAATAACTTTTATTTAAAAGAATAATTATAAAATAACACTATAAAACGTACACATAAAATTACAGATTGTATAAAAAAAATCATATTTGAATAAATAAAAAAATAAGCGATGCCTTGATGAATTGTCATCATTGTAGGAGGCTAACAATGTTGTCGAAGTAAAGAGCTGGCCAGTAATATTTGACATGGATGACATGCCAAAGAAGAGGGTTCCAGTTTTTTATCGAGCTCCGACTGCGGAGATGCTTGCCTATTTGGACTTCAGTGTGTCAACGACGGGTATGCTTGCGGGTATAAAGATGTCTCACGCGGCCGTCACTTCCTTATGCCGAGCGATGAAACTCGCGTGCGAGCTGTATCCATCTCGGCACATAGCACTTTGCTTGGATCCCTACTCAGGATTAGGATTTGCATTGTGGTGCCTCAGCAGTATATACAGTGGTCATCATTCGATACTTATACCTCCATCAGAGGTAACCCATTATGCTTTATAAATTTACGTGTTTTGAAAAATAAATTATAAGAACATATATTACTAATGTATAGTACCGAAACCTTGTACTGTCATTTATATTATAAATTAAAAAAAATTCATACACTGTCTTATTAACAAACATATATAATTTCTAATATTTTCATATTGTTATTATACCTTAATTCATTCAAATTTTTATCTTCTTCGGTACGTTTATTTGATTATTTTTAAAATTTTCTAAAATTATTTTCTAAATCATATTTTCTAAAAATTATTTTCTAGGTTGAAGCAAATCCAGCACTTTGGCTATCCGCCGTAAGTCACTCAAGAGTACGCGATACTTTTTGCTCTTACGGTGTAATGGAACTTTGTACAAAGGGTCTTGGATCATCGGTCCATGCCTTAAAAGCGCGAGGTGTAAGCCTGGCGTGTGTAAGGACCTGTGTTGTTGTTGCTGAGGAAAGACCAAGGATAGCACTAACAACAAGTTTTAGTAAACTCTTTTCCGCTCTTGGATTGAGTCCTCGAGCGGTCTCCACTTCATTCGGTTGCAGAGTCAATACAGCCATATGTTTACAGGTAAGTAAAGCTTTATATGCATTAAAATTTTTGACATTTGAATTTGAGAAACGATCGATACAATACAATACAATACAATTACGATGTATAGGATGTATAATAATATTATAATCCATCGGTTTTTCTTTGTATGATAAAACTCTAAGCAAGCGAATTATTTACAGGGTGCTTCGAGTCCCGAGCCATCGACGGTTTACGTGGACTTACGAGCGTTGCGTAACGACCGTGTTTCTCTGGTAGAACGAGGATCACCACACTCGCTTTGCCTCATGGAATCTGGAAAGCTACTGCCAGGCGTAAAAGTAATAATTGCCAATCCTGAGACGAAGGGTCAATGTGGTGATTCACATCTCGGGGAGATTTGGGTGCAATCTTCGCACAATGCCAGCGGATACTTCAGTATATATGGCGACGAGAGTGATTACGCGGACCACTTTAATGCACGTCTTGTGACTGGAAACACTAATGAAGTATACGCGCGCACTGGATACCTTGGCTTCTTACGACGCACTGAAAATGTACAACAGAGTGGTGGACCTGGCGACGTCCCGGGAGATAACGGTTCGATATCAGAGGCTGATGTTGCACCTGGAGATTCAGAACTCCACGACGCCGTTTTTGTTGTTGGTGCGCTCGATGAGGCAATACTTCTCAGAGGCATGAGATATCATCCAATCGATATCGAGAATAGTGTTATGAGGTGTCATAAGAAAATTGCAGAATGGTCAGTTAAATCTTATTTTTTATTATTATAATTGTGGAAAATTTCCGAGTATTATCTTTTAGACGTTTAGAGTATGTAATTAAAAATTATGTATAAATTAAGATTTACATTGAAAATTTATTTTTATAGCTTAGGCTTTAAATACTTTTATATAAATAAAAATTAAAAATAATAAATTAAAAATGTACAAGTCATTATATTATATAATTTTTTTATTCTTCAAAAAAATAATTGTATTTATTTTATGTAATTACTTTTTCTTTTATAGTGCTGTATTTACGTGGACGAATTTACTGGTGGTCGTAGTGGAACTTGATGGCAGTGAGAGCGAAGCACTCGACCTCGTTGCTCTCGTCACTAGTGCTGTCCTTGAAGAGCATCATCTTGTCGTTGGTGTAGTTGTTGTTGTTGATCCCGGAGTCGTGCCGATAAATTCACGAGGTGAAAAGCAACGCATGCATCTACGTGATGGATTTCTCGCCGATCAGCTCGATCCTATTTACGTTGCATACAACATGTAAATCGTAATAAATTTGCGTTTTTCTCTAGAAACAAAGAATAGCGCATAGAACAATAAGTTTCGCATAAATTTTTCATGTTCTATGAATTTTTTGTGACGTTTCCATTGATGGAAATTCATTAATAGATTATAGTTTACCTTTTATTTATTTCGAATGACTTACGTAAAAGCTACGTAATAGATGAATCCAAGAATACTTGTCTTTATGATTTTTTCGTGATTTACTTAGCGCACATGCAAGTATATTTTTACTTGCTATTTGTTTACAACAAAAACAAATGACTATTTTATTAAAGTAATATGTTTGATAATATTGAGATGAGATTTAAAAAAATAGAGAAATAAAGAATGAAAGTTTTAAATTTACAATCGTCAGTGTTAGAAATTTTTTTACATTTTTTATAATAGTTCAGAAAAATATGACAATTAGTGATAAAAAAATAAGCTTATTCAAAAAGTCGCTTATAATTTATATTTTCGTTGAAGTTATCGATTATATTATTTTAGCGAAAACAATCGAAGATAATTATATTTATCAAACAAATTTTTACCAATATAAATTTTTTATTTTGAAAACTTTTGACTGTAAAATCACATTACACGCATTACGCATTCACACGTCGTTAACTGTCCTCAGTTTTGAGGAAATAAATGACAGTCTTGTCCCTTGTCATAGTAATGTAAATTATGGTTTATCATTTTATGCAGATTAATAACCAAAAGAAAAAATAATTACCGATTTTCATGAAATTTACCGAATTATCACATTACTTTTTTCTACATATATACACGACTGATTTTCTTAATAACATATACATTTGTTGATACATTTCTAAATATAAATTTATTTTATTCTTAAAAAAAATAATGGGAACAATAATAGTAGCTTCACAATAATTAGCAATTTTCAAGTGTATTTTTTCCTTCCTTTTTTTTAATGAAATACAACTATTTTATTTGCTAGTTTAATTTTATAAATAAATTACTATCAATTATGGCATTAATTAGACACATTGTACATAATAATAAAGTTATAATTAAGATGGTCAAGAACTTTCTTTTTTCTTTTGTAAACCGAAACAGTGCCATCGCTTAATTTTTTATTATACTCGGAATAATTGTGCATTGCCTTTTCTGTGCTCTTGCGTAGGTATTTTAATTATTTGAAAGCGCCGATCATTTCATCATAAATTTGTGCAGTATTTTGAACATGTGTTGAAAAAATTAAAAAAACATTTCACATTCTATGAAATAAAATCATGAAATTCTAAAGGAGTTATTTTAATAAGTGAATGAAAGAAATATTGTGCATAAGTTCAAGAAATGTATGAAAAGTTTTTTAGGAAATATATACTAAAAGTTAGCCAAACTTTTAAAATGGTTATTGCACAATAATGCTATCCAATACACACTATTTATATAAAAGCACAGTAAAGTTTTGTATCTCAAGTCATGAAATTGAATGAAATTTCCTAAAAATAAATACATTTTATGCAATTTGAAATATAGCATACATTAGTTACCTAAATAAATCAAAAATAAATAAATTTTGAAATGTTAATCGCTCCCAATTTTAAGATCGCCTTGATCTCATAGCTTGTATCAATACAGATTCCACTACAAAGTAGAAGAAAAGCGAATTTATTCAGACACCGATAGATTTTGTAACGATCTACGTTTTATACATCGGAGTCAGTATATTTCTATAATATGGTACATTTATAGGGCACTCGGCTAATTCAGAGATCGATCTTTTTTGTACAATTCTACCTCCGCCAAGGTCGAGTACGTATGAAGAGTATTTTATGTTAAATTTAGTAAATTTTGCAGTATCTTTTTTACTTCTGTTTAATTAAAAAAAAATTAATAAAAGATGTTATATTTATCAGAATATATTTTTGAGTCAGATTTTTATAGTAAGAAAATTAATCAATATCAAGATCGATATTAATTGCCTGATATTACATCATTATCAAATATTGATTTTAATATCGATTGCATTCACAATGTAATTTTTAAGTATTTTTATTTAAAGTTTTATTAATAATTTAGGAATTTTATATTTAAAAAGAAAATATCCAGAAATATGTAAAATGTATAAACTGCATAAAGTAATAGACTTTATTTTTATCAATAATCTATATAAATTGCTAAATTATAACAAAAATAGATCTTCCTTATTTTTTAGTTAAAAAAAAGTTAGAAACTACTGCAATATGTAATCGATTTAGCATAAGATGACTCATGAAAGAATCATCGAAGCGCGTCTATCAATTTTTTTATTGATGGCGCGCCGTGGTATTTGGTTTATAATGTATAAATGTTTATACTAGCAGTAGTGATAATGTGGAATACTTGTCATACCAATTATGTTACAAATTTAAGTCCAGGTCTGGCACGTGTCGTAGTCGGATGGACAATTTTTTAGTTAGTTTCTTTGCAATTATTTTACGACTTGATCGATGATGGGAATAAGGCAAAGAGCGAGCGAAAGAAAGAGCGAAAGAAAGAATGATAGAGTAAAATACCGTGTATATATTACTAATAATATTCGAGTCGTAGGGATTTATTGTTTTTAAAGAGAGTACGATCATAGATTGTATTTAAAAGTACACTAATTAGAATATTGCAAATGAATTGTGTACTATTAATTGTCACTTATTGCATAGCGTTTAAAATGCTGTCAGACTAATATGTTATTTTATTCAAAGCGCGCTTTGCATTATTAATATTATTCTTCTTAACATAATTTGTTTAATGATCAAAAGGAAATATGTGTAAGAATTTTCAAAAGAAATGTCGACGAATAATAAATGGAGTATATAATGTATTGTCAATGGTTTATACTATTTTAAACGCTTTTGACAATATTTTATATTTTCCTTTGCAGTAGTCTTCGTAATGAAAAAATTTTATTATACAAATTGTGAAAAAAATTAAATACTATTGTTTTATGTATTTGTATCTTACAAAATATCTAAATCATCGGATGATGATTAATAGTGATTAATAGACTTTGCAAGGATATTTCATTAATTTGAAGAATAAAAAGAAATAAGGAGCAATTAACTAAAAAGACTGTATTAGCAGTTTCTCATAGCGCTTTTTCTAATTAACAAATTGATTGCTTATCGATCATCATGCTCTATCACATATTTACACATTGACACACCAACTGCGTAATAATATACATAAAACAAAATAAAATAAAAAGAGTCATAGTATGCATACGTATGCATAGGACACAATTTGTAATCCAATTGATATTTACGAGAAAACGTCGCATGGACCGAAACACAATTATTAATAAACGTAATGAACATTTTCTAACATTTGTGTTTATTTCGTTTTTCCTATACTACCTTCATTTTCATCAATATAATGATAGTAGTTATTATATTTACAAATTTTACAAAATAAAGAAATATTTAACTATTTTTATTTGTTAAGGATATTTTTTACTATTTTTTTTCAGATTTTTTAAAGTGATTCTCGTTAAATAAAAATAAATAAAATGTTTATATAATAATAATAATAAATTATTATTTTAGTTAAAATTAATTATTTATTTTATTAGTAATAGAAAATTAATTATTTTAGTTGTAATAGAAATTTTCATATTTATTTTAAATACTTAAAACGAAATTTATTTTCGTATCAATTGACTAGGAAATAAAATATTTTTTTTATAGAAACAGATTATTTTAATAATAATTTTTTAACAAAATTAATAAATCATTAGTAGAGGAGGAGAAAATAATATCAAAAACGTTTTTATACTTTCTTATTTAAACAAATATTTACTCGATATAAATAAAATTAAAATTTCTTTCAAAATATTTATTTTTTTTTGCATTATTTATAAATTATATAACATACAATTTAAATAATTTATCATATAGTTGCATAAAATGTAAACAAAATAAATAAAAATCTAATTCTATATGAGTTTCCCACTGTTTCAAATTGATATTACATTCATTTTGTTATATTATGATATTTCTGAAAATAATGTTAAGTAACGACAATGATTAGTAATGTATACGGTATAATTTATATATGATATAAATTTTTATATACGTGATTATAAATTTTTAATTTCCATAGTTATGAAAAGTGTCATTTTAAATAGTTAAAATTTTTTTCTAATTTAAAGCCTAATGTTTAGATAATTATAAAATGAAAATAAAATTTGTAACTGAAGTTTCAGATGAGAATTATTTAAATTATCAACTAGAATTGAATTGAAGTAATTATATATCACATAAGATATTAAACAATTTTTAATTAATTAATAAAATATATATTTTAAGAAATAAATATGTGGGATAATAATATATAAACTTAACTTAAATTGAATTAGGATATTAATAGAATACTTTTAATTTATCTCCAATATTATATTAAATAATTAAAATAACTATTATAAATTTATAGAGTGGCTTTATATTGGATTGAAAATATTCATTATTAAATTAAGAAAATTTAAATTTTCAGTGTTTCGCATGCATTTGCTTCTGTAATAGAATATATTCTATAATTCATCATAAAATTCTAATATATTTAAATATTTTTTATTTAAATAATTCTTTTATTTACATAAATTTAATTTATGAACAACATGATATTTTAATAATTATTTCAAATAATAATTATACACTTTAATAATTATTAATTAATAATTATTTTTTGATATAATAAATCATTTCAAGTATCTATGCAGTATTTCATAACAATAAATTTTAAAACATAGTATACATAGCTCTGTTAACTTTTTTTCTAGTGACTTAAAAAATAAATAAACAATTAATGTATATGCGTGTATTAAGACAAATTGTATTATATGCCTTTTTATTGTATATATTATTTTTGTATATTCAAAGCCTTATCAATGCTAGACAAAGTGTAGACATAAGAAGATATTCTACGTTACTGTCAATCCTACATGTCTCCTACGTATGTTGAATAAGCCGATGACTGTTTCATAACGAATGAGTTCACCGATTCATTTGATTCGCGTATTTTTGAAGTGCAGATATAAGCATGTCATATTATCCCCATTCATATCATTTTACAATAAATTTTTCTATACAAATGTAATAGATGGGAACAACAGAATGTAACATTACTTTATTCTGTTTTAGAAGAATTAAAAAATAAAATAAATTTTTTACGATTGTTGATAATTTTTATATTAAATTATTATATAAATCATCAAAAGCAACATTAAATAATATTTCTCTAGAGTTATTTATATAAAGCAT